CCGCGGCGAGCGAAGGGATTTCCCCAGAATCCCTTACACCCCCCATCTTCGCCGGTTCCAAATCCGTTTCCGCATCGGTCAAGGGTTGTTTTCCGTGGGTGGTGGCTTCCTCCCTTCAGCACTGTAGCAATAGTGCTCTTCTCTGATCAGCCTCACTCGAACCCGCGACCTGAAATAAAGTCTCATGCTCTATGAATAGAGAGTNTCAGCACTGTAGCAATAGTGCTCTTCTCTGATCAGCCTCACTCGAACCCGCGACCTGAAATAAAGTCTCATGCTCTATGAATAGAGAGTCGGGCAACCTAATAAACGTATTGCATAGACGTAAGATTATTTATTAATTATAGCCTTTGGGCATCAGGTACATAAAGCACAGCCAAAAAAATGGATTAGTACGCTATTCGTCATGGCAAAAATGCAACAAAAATTCCCATTTATGCGTTTTCAATACTAGACTCAGCAGGCAGTAATAAGCTCAAAACAGATGTGNTCCGCAATGTTTGGTCTATCGTAACCGACGACTTTGAGCGGTGGTATCCGCAATGTTTTTTTTTTCGGTTTTGGAGGCGAATAGTCGCAAGTGGCTTCTACAGCAATTCCCTCGAGGCCGCCGCCTTTATTCAGCGCCTTTATTCGGTTTCGCGGTAACCTGTTTGTTGAGGAACCTAGCGATGGCCATGGGGTCCATGGCTGCGAGTTCTTCCAGCCACTGTTCTGCCGTCTTGGTTTCCAAGCTTGTGGCAGTAATGGGGTGGCTAGACAGCATTATACGCCCTGGTGGCATTAGGGGGGTAGTGGTTTTCGACGAGGTCGAGGGGTTGGCCTGAGAGACAGTGTTGGCTGAAGCAGCAGGCAGTGAAGGCCAAGGTACCTGTCCCGAGGTTGAGGGCTGAGCCTTGGCAGGGTTCACTGGTGTCTGGTGGGCTTTCGAAGCATTCTTGGGGTCAGCTGAGTTGGCTTGCAGAGCATGGTGAGTAGGGGAGGTCCTTGGACGCTTGGCGGCTGATTCCGCATACGTTTGACCCCTGGTGGGTCCCAATCTGGCCTGGGTGGGTACCTCCTCTCTGCTGTGTAGGCGTTGAGACTGGGTTGGAGGCTGGGATGGGGGATATACCGTGACTGGCACTCTGTGGTTGGCTCCTCTGTTGGTAGGGGTGACTTGACTGGGTGTGGGGGAAGGATTGGGCCTGATGGCAGGAGTACTAAGAGTCCTAGAGGGAATAGGCCTATTGGTAAGGGGTTGGGTCTCTGGCATGGCTTCTGTGGATTGATATCTGGAGAGATTAGTGGCACGTAGTGCAGTCTTGGGGTTGGGCTGCTGAGGCTGATGAGGGAGGTTCCACTTCATAGCCTCTTTTGCTTTTTGGTGGCGCTGATCGTCCAGTTCGCAGGAAAATAGATTACAATGCCATTTTCCACACACGACACAATAATCGTGTCTGACGACACTGGGACATTCTGGGTATCCGTGGCCGTACCCGTGGCACTGATGGCACCTAACCCCTCGATATGATGACCTTCTAGGGGGTCTCTCCAGCCTAATGTCAGGAATGATTGGAGGGAGAGGCTCTCCTGGTCGTCCTTGGAGAGCTGGATGATTAGCCAAAGGGCTGGGATCCCTACTGGGAGGCTGACTTCCCGACTTCCCGTGGGGAGGGGTCCTGAGCATGGGGCTTCTAGGGCACTGGTGGTCCCTTTGGCTCTAAAGGCAGTGGTGATTCCTTGGCCTATGGGGACCCTGGTGATTCTTTTGGCTCTGGGAGCATTGGTGTAGTTGTTGGCGTCATCGGCTCCTCCTGCTTGGGTGGATTCGGCTCCCGGGTCCTTGATGTTGGCATTAGGGTTAAGGTTTTGGACCCTAGGTCTCGAGCAGCGGCTTCCAATTGTTCATCTTCCGAAGCCTCGATCTCCAAAATGTCGGGATGGTTGGCGAAGAATTCGCAAGGGTGAGAGATATCCTTTCCTGGGGTTAGTGGGGGGAATTCAGGGAAAGGACGGGTTGTAGTGGCGATATTCGCAGAACTAGCTGGTGTTGGAGTTTCTCCCTCGGTTGGAGTGGGAAGGGGTTTGACCCTTTTGGCAGTTGCCTCTGTAGGGTTTTCGGGAGGGTTGGAGAAGGTGAACTTCTCGCCCGTGACATCGGGGGTGGAAACTGGGGTGAGGGGTGTAGGAGGTGGAGTTGGGGTGGCCGCGATGGCATCGTTGATGGAGAATGTTGGGATCGTTGGGTCTGAGACAGCGGTGTCTGTCGCGGTGGTGGAGATGGCAACTGGTGCAGATGGTTCTTGGGTCACTGAGGGTTTCTGGATGGTTACCTGGATAGCTTCCTCGGCCACGCAGATTTCGTACCAGTCTCGTTTTAGGTCTTTCTCCCATGAAACCTCTTCCAAGGGTGGGAAAGGTGGCGTCTCCGTGAGGGTGTCGGGTGGCTTCTGGTTCAGCAGCGAGGTCGCGAAAACGCGAAGGAATTGCATGAAGGCGGGGTCAGTGGCGGCGATGGCCCACATCTCCTTACCATTGGACGACAATGGTGCCCATTTCATCTGACCTGGGACAACGATGGTCTCAGTCTGGGTGGTGGCGTCCTGGGTCGCAGGTGTTATCCGTTCGGTAGCTACTAGCGAAGCAGGTTTGAGGGCCTTAGCCTCCGTTGAAGGCTTTTCCCCTGTGGGGGCGTCCGAAGGCGCAAGTGTCGGGGTCCCCTGACTCTCCTCTGGATTGGCGTCCTTGTCCGCAACGCGAGAGAATGTCGTCCCTCCAATGTTGGCGTCATGTGTCGCAGGGTCGGCCTCCATCTCCTCCTCGGGTGTGTCCTTCTCGGACTCCTTCGTCTTTTTCTCTTCCAAGTTATCTATAAAGGAGGATGCAAGCGGAGAGATTCACTTATATCGTGATAAGAGGCAAAAAAAATGTAATATAAGGCAACTCATGCAACTACAGTGTCTCATCTCAGGCTTTTTATATCAGTACTACCGATTATTCAAGCGTCTGCATTATCTAAGGGCGGCAAATATGGCTTGAGATCTTGCACTGATACTTCACCTTGATTTTTACCTGAGAAGTCTGCTACTTGATAACGGGTTTTCGAGAGTTTCTTGAAAACGACGTAAGGGCCTTCGTATGGTGGCACAAGGGCCGCAGAGAAGTGCTTAGCGGCATTAGAGAGTGGATGTGACCGGCGCACGACGAGATCTCCCTGGTTAAACTCATGATCACGACGGCGCAAATTATAATAGTGAGCTTGACGGGTTTGAGCCTCCGTCAACGCGTGATGCAAGGTCTTACGGAGTACCTCCAGCCGTTTCATACGTTCTAACCACTCTTCCGGTGATCTTGGTTCGATCTCGATTTCACCCTCAATGTCTCGACGGAGAGAAACCGCCGATAACGGCTCCCGGCCGAAGTTGGCAAATGCAGGGATGCATTGCAAGGCGCTATGGAGCGCAGTATTGAACGCAAAATGAAATTCGTGGAGATGTAAATCCCACGTCCGATGGTTGCTATCGACAAAGGCTCTAAGCATCATTTTTAAAACACGATTAACCCGTTCGACGGGGTTTGCTTGAGGGTGATAGGGGGGCGACGTTTGGTGTCGCATACCAGTCAAGGCGGCTAAGACACGAATCTCTTTATTGACAAACTCCGTCCCGTTATCTGTGAATAGAATGCGAGGAGTTCCCCAACGAGAAACAACGACGTTCTCGATATGTTCGCGAATAACTCTGCCAGTGGCTCTTTGCAATGGAATGACTTCTATCCACTTTGTAAACAGATCTTGCAGAACGAGGATGTAACAATGGCCAGATTTGCTGGCAGTCATTGGGCCCATAATATCTGCGGCAACAGTTGCCCAAGGTTCTTCGATCGCTCGGTTCCCCATGAACCCTCTAGGTAAGGCATTTTCAACTCTGCATAATTGGCACGATTCGCAGTGATTCACAAAACTTATGACGTCACGCAACATACTAGGCCAGTAATAGGATTGACTCAATCGACGATAGGTCTTATCGACACCTAGGTGGCCGGCTTGTGGCAATTCATGGCATTGGGCAATGGCTCTGGACCTGAGTTCCTTGGGGAGCACCAGCTTCCACGCATCTAAATCTTCCATCTCTACCGAGATGAATTCAGAGGGACGATGGTTATATAATTGTCCATTCGCAATTTTCCAATCGGGGAAAAATTCAGGCACTCTCTTCACGTGGCGGAATTTCTTATTATACCATTTATCGTCGCTTACGCGAAGGCGCTCAATTGTCTCGCAGTCGGCGCTCTCTTCTTCGGGGGCACGAGATAAGGCATCGGGTACGTGATGCAAAGCACCTCTTCGGTGCACAATTTTGAAGTCGTACTCCATCATACTGAGGCCCCAACGGGCAAGTCGACCGGTTGGATTTTTTAAATTATGCAACCAGCGAAGGCTACTGTGGTCGGTGATCACTGTAAATGAATATCCCTCGAGGTAGCAACGGAACTTATTCATCGACCATAGGACGGCTAAACATTCTAATTCAGTAACCGTATATTTCTTTTCGGCGGCCGTTAACGCGCGACTCGCATACGCAATTACTCGTTCTTCGCCGTCAATTACCTGGGTGAGTACGGCACCTAACCCCACCGTACTGGCATCGGTTTGCAGTGTAAAGGGAAGCTCAAAGTTTGGGCACGCGAGAGTCGGCGACGTGGTCAAACATTCCTTCAAGGCTGCAAAAGCATGGTTTTGTTCCTCCATCCACATCCAGGGTTGTTGTTTCCGGGTGAGTCGAGTGAGGGGTTCGGCGATCGTCGCAAATTGGGGTATGAATCGGCGATACCATGATGCCATACCTAGTAACCTACGCAATTGCTTAATATTTTTGGGGGCTGGGTAATTGAGGACCGGTTCGATTTTCTCCGGGTCCACTTGCAATCCCGCACTGTTGACTATAAAACCGAGATACTTGACTTGAGATCGGCAGAAATGGCTCTTTTCTTTATTGATCGTCAGACCAGCTGAGGTGATTTTATCAAGGACCTCTTTGAGGTAGGTTAGATGTTCCTCAAAAGTGCGTGATACGATAATAATGTCGTCTAGGTAGACGAAAACATTGGGGTATAATCCTTGACCCAAAAGGCGATCTAAGAGGCGCTGAAATGTAGCAGGCGCATTCGTGAGGCCGTAAGGCATACGCTGGAAGTGGAATAGACCTCTTCCAGGGGCGATAAACGCAGTGATTTCTTGACTTTCAGGGTCTAACGGGATCTGAAAGTATGCTTGACTCAAATCGAGAGTAGTAATGTAGTGCGCATGGCACAATTCGTCCAATATACCCGTCATATTCGGGATTGGATAGGCATCTTTCTTCGTGACCGCATTGACACGGCGGAAGTCGATGCAAAACCTATATTTACCATTGGGTTTACGAACCATAACAATGGGGCTGGACCAGTTACTCTTGGAAGGCACGATGATGTCGTTCGCCAACATCTCATCCACCTCTTTCCACATGATCCCACGAATCGCGGGACTCACAGGATAGGGCTTTTGCTTGATAGGGGCATTATCCCCGACGTCAATATGATGAGACGTAAGTGTGGTGATCCCAGGTTTATCGGAACCCTTTGGGAGGTTTTTTTCCAAAAATTCGTCTAATCTTAATTCTTGACTTTTCTCCAGGGTACGCAAACCATTACAGACAATGATACTAGTGGCAGAATGCGAAGGTGTGAATTTATGCTGCTCTCCAGGCGTTTCTCGATAATGCCAGGACTGATCGAAGAAGTCGATCACTATTCTGGCTCCCACTAGGAAATCCATCCCTAGGATAAAATCTTCAGATAGGGTGGGCAGTAATAGCACGTCTAATAGCGTAGTCCGGCCCGCAAGTTCGGCAGGACATGTCGACATGGGTCGAATTCTTTCTATTTGGCTACCAGCGAGGATCACGCGCTTCTCCGGCACTTCGTAGGGGATGATCTGTGCTTTCTGGAATAATTTTAATCCGGCAGCACCAGCGAAACTACTCGTCGCACCAGAGTCAATCAAGGCTCTTACGCGATAACCACCAATGGTGATATCTACGTGAAAAGCAAGGGGTCTTCGTTCCGCGGAACTATTGAGCAACAATGGCAATTCTGCAGGAACTTCGGGGGCAATCAATTGCAGAGGATCAGATTCCACCCGAGAAAGGTCAATTGGGGGGGAGGCAACAGGGTTGCATGTTGAGGGTCCCGGATCGGAAAGGGAATCTTCAGGAGACGAGTTCGCCGGGTCGGCTCGCCTCACTTCTCGTTTCCCCTACTGCAGTTGGGGCAAGTCCTTGAAGTGAAACCGGAGTTTCGGCAGCGATAACAGAACATTCTCTTAGG